GGTGTACGTGGCTGGCGCCTTAGCCGGTTGAGCCACAGGCGCCGAGCCAATTTTTCCATTTTTAATAGAGACAAGGTCTCGCTCTTGCTCAGACTGGTCTCGAACTTCTGAACTCAAGTGAGCCACCCACCTTGGCCTCCCAGAGTGGTAGGATTACAGGTGTGAGCTATCATGCCCGGCCTTCAATAGGTATACTTTTAAAACATTTTCAGGAGTAGAGAAGAAATTTTAATAGCAGTGGCCACTTGGTTACTATGTTCCTCATTTCCTTATCAGCCTACTCTGTACATATCTCTGTGCCTACAGCTTAACTGAATGTTCCATTGGGAGAGGTGTTTATGCAGATGCAGAAAGAAGGCTTTGTTTATTTTTGTTTCTATGTGTTTTGGCTATCAAGTCTCTCAGAGTAAAGTATAAGGTAACTTTTTTTTTCTTTCTTTCTTACAGGATATATTTTGGGGAAGTTCAGCTGAATGGCTTAGGAGAAGGTATGTAAGAAGGCTGAAAAACACTTGTAGCGTTAAGAGTGCTCCTGACTTCAGAGATGAGCATAGTTGCCACCTGTGATCATATGTAGGTTGTAATCAATGTGTGTAATACAAGTAAAGTTAAGAATGCATGTAGGTAGTCCATGGAGCTGCCAGGGATAACCAGATAGTTTTCCCTCAAGTTCTAGGAATTCAGTCTTCTTTCTTTCTTATTCTTTATATAATATTTTGTTTTCCTAATTTCAACAATAAACACGTTAAATGTATGTGAAGAATACCAACAATTTTGAAAAATTGGAAATGAAAATAGGAAAACTAGGGGCTTCGGATAGGATGAATGATTCTAGGAAAGACACACTAGGAGCAGTGTCAACATTCTCTTCAAAAAAAGCTAATAGTTTTTCTCTTCTAGGCTTCCAGACAGTTCGTGTTGGGACAGTAGGCACCCCTGTGGGCACCATCACTCTTTCTTGTGCTTACAGAATTAACTTGGCATTCATGTCTACCAGGTAAGAAAGGGCCCAGGAACCAAAAGAGCTATTAAAAAAATGGTAAAGTGTTTTTTCACCCCAGACTTCAAGATTAAACCTACAATTAAGTTTTGCTGAAAGTGGCCCCTTCAGAAGAATAAAAAAAAGAAAGAAAGAACACATTTGCCAGATTGGGGAATTTGTGTGTCTCGGAGCCAATCTGTCTAGAATGTAGAGTTGGTGGTCTATAGTTAGGCACTGTAATGGCTAAGGCTTTTGTAGTGCCTGCCAACACATTTAAAGTCAGGGGCCCTCTGAAGATTTATGGAGGAGGGTTCTAGAAAGACATTCTAACAAACGCTGCAATCTGCTTATTGCATTTCAGGCAATTTGAGAGGACCCCACCTATCATGGGGATTATTATTGATCACTTTGTGGACCGTCCCTATCCTAGCTCCTCTCCCATGCACCCCTGCAATTACAGGTGAGGAATGTGAAAATGTGTTCTCTCAAACTGTAGCTGGGCAAAAGCATCCATCCTGCCCCAGTGTGTAGAGCATCGTTATCAATAGTCAGTTATCAATGGGCAGGTGGCACTGATGGAGACCTCACATGGAGAGAAATAAAATGGCTAGTTTCCCTTCTTGTTGCTGCCTATTAGGTACATCACGACTTGAAGGCCAGGCATGGTGGCTCGTGTGTAATCCTAGCAATCTGGGAGGGTAAGGTAGATGGATTGCTTGCTCTGGAGTTCCATACCAGCCTGAGCAAAAGCAAGACCCTCTCTCTACTAAAAATAGAAAAGTTAGCCAGGCATGGTAGTTCATGTCTGTAGTCCCAGCTACTTGGGAGGCTGAGGCAAGAGGATTGCTTGAGCCCAGGAGTTTGAAGTTGCTGTGAACTATGATGCCATAGCACTCTAGCCTGGGCAACAGAGTGAGTCTGTGTCTCAAAAAAAAAAAACAAAAACAAAGCCAGGTGCGATGGCTCACGCCTGTAATCCCAGCACTGTGGGAGACTAAAGCAGGCGGATTGCTTAAGCTCAGGAGTTCAAGGCTTGTCTGAGTGAGAGTGAGACCCCAACTCATGAAAAAAAATGGAAAACCCAGACTGGGCACTGTGGCAAGCACCTGGAATCCCAGCAGCTTCTGAGGCTGAGGCAGCAGGATGCCCACAGCCCGAGTCTGAGGTTGCAGTGAGCTACAACGCCATTGTACTCTGCTCAGGGCATAGGGTAGGACTCTGTCTCGACAAAAAAAAAAAAAAACAAGGCAACTGTGTGCATATGCTCATCCCAACCCCCAAATCCCCTGAAAAAACCCCCCCACAAAACCCAGGATTTGAGGTATATAGAATGTTTCAGAAAATATGGGAATATTTTAGATTTTTTTTTTTTTTTTTGAGACAGAGCCTCAAGCTCTTACCCTAGGTGGAGTGCTAGTAGCGTCATAGCTCACAGTAACCTCTACCTCCTGGGCTTAAGTGATTTTCTTGCTTCAGCCTCCCAAGTAGCTGGGACTACAGGCACCTGCCACAATGCTCGGCTATTTTTTTTTTTTTTGGTTGTAGTTGTCATTGTTTGGCAGGCCCAGGCCAGATTTGAACCCGCCAGCTCTGGTATATATGGCTGGTGACATAGCCGCTTGAGCCACAGGCGCCAAGCTGGAACATTTTAGATCTTAATGGTAGTGATATGACTTCTTAGTAGCAAGTTATTTAGAAACTATAAGAGTGGCAGTGATTTGTGAAATGTCCTTGGCGTATTAAATGGTTTTCAGGTCGCCATCTGGCACAGTTATTTATATGTTGGAATAAAATGCCTCCATGCCTAGATCCCAGAAAACAGAATTCTTAGACAAGCTGGAGGTGTGTACCTGGCTCTCAGCTACTTGGGAGGCCAAGGCCAAAGGATTGTTTGAGCGTAGGAGTCTGAGATTCCAGTGAACTATGACTGTGCCATTGCACTCCAGCCTGGGCAACAGAGCAGGACTCTGTCTCTAAAAAAAGAAAATTTTAAATAACAAGAAAAAAAAAGTAAGTAATTCTCTAGAAGTCAGAATAGATGCAGGAAGGATGGGCTTATGAAGTTGGATAGATTTGTTTTTAAGGTTTAGTTATTTGTTTCCTTGTGCATCTATTACTGGTAATTCTTTGAAGATCCAGATCCAGCCCCCAACACTGGTCTGCTTTAAGAAAATACTCTTTAAAATGATAGGTCAGGTGAGATGTTTGGGGGATTCTTTTGGTTCTTGTTTATTGTTTTTATGGTTGGGGATTCATTGAGGGTATAAGAAACCAGTTTACAGTGATTGCATTTGTTAGATAAAGTACCTCTTAGAATTGTGTCTTGCCCTCCAAAAGTGTGTCACACACCGAGACCCCATCCCCACCCTTCTTCCCTCTTTTTTTTTTTTTTAAATGTCACTTCACACTGGTAGATGCTACTCTCTGGAAATGTTTGAAATTATCAAGGCCTCAATATGGCTCTCTTGCCAGTGTGAACTCTGCCTGAAACAATTCTTAAGCACAGTTCCCATCCTTACCTAGTCCCCCTTTCTATCCTGTCTTAAGGGAGGCGCCTGTGGCTCAGTGATTAAGGCGCCGGCCCCATATACCGAGGGTGGCGGGTTCAAACCCAGCCCCGGCCAAACTGCAACAAAAAATAGCTGGGCGTTGTGGCAGGCGCCTGTAGTCCCAGCCACTTGGGAGGCTGAGGCAGAAGAATCGCCTAAGCCCAGGAGTTGGAGGTTGCTGGAGCGACTCCACTGCACTCTACCAAGGGCGAAAAAGTGAGACTCTCTCTCTACAAAAAAAAAAAAAACCTGTCTTAAATTGACGCTACCCTCATGAAATTTGGTAATTCTTTCCCCTCACTTTAGAACTGCTGGTGAGGATGCTGGAGTAACATACCCATCTGCAGAAGACTCCCAGGAAGTGTGCACCACTTCTTTTTCCACTTCCCCTCCATCACAGGTAGGGGGGAACAGATGCTGGGGTGGTGGTAGTTATTTGGTATATATAGCACTTGTGAAATGGTGTCCAAATTTAGCTACAATCCCTTTTGGTCATAGTGGTGATGATTTCTAGGGGATTATTTTGAAGGGTGAAGATTCTTCATATCTACTAGATAATATTGCAGTGTTTCTAGTCTGTAACTATTCTTAACCTATAGGATTACATTTAGCCTTCCTGGGAAAATCTTAAAAATTCCCTAGAAAAACAGTCACAGAATTTTATATGCATTCTAACTAACACCAGGGAAATCTTTTAGCATTTACTTGTTTATTTTGTAGTTACTTCTTTTATGCCAGTGGTTCTCAACCTTCCTAATGCCACAGACCTTTAATACAGTTCCTATGGGTCTTGACCCACAGGTTGAGAACTGCTGTTTTATGCAGTAGTAAATTTGGTTCCTAATAATGGAAGAAGTCCAAAGAGAACCAATAATTATTTAGTATAAAATGCCACTAAGAAACTTGTAGTGCAGCTTTTCTTAATAGTTAACACAGATTTCTGCCTATCTGCATTTTCTATCCATTAACTTTTCTATTTGAGTCAATCTTTGGGGGCAGATCCAATTTCCTTAAAACACAGGCTCCAGACAATGTTGTCAGCTTCTCCAGAGTAAGCATCTTTGTGGTCTTACTGTGTATGTAGTGCTGAGACCACTTTAGCTAGGCAGCTATTTCTGAAGCTGACAGGATATCAGGAGCACACTTTTTGCCTCTTACCCATGTCATTAAATCTTCAGCCTTGTCACCTGTAGACCCCTGTCCTGCTTGCATCATCTCCATTCTTGCCCTCCTCTTTGACTTTCACGTTAGATGGTTTCTTTTAGATCTTCCTTAGTTCTTTTTTTTCCTTTAAATTAGCCTGAGATTATCCCTTTTCACCATTTTATTTAGGGTACCTGAATAATTAATTAGTTACCTATGAATTTCCATTTTTTTAATTATAAAAGTTTAAATTTCATAATGTTAGTGTTTTTTTATTATGAAAATTTAATGTGGTTTTTTTAATTATGAAAATTTAGTTTCTATGAGTAGAATATGAACGTTTTAACACAATAACTAAGAAAATTACATGAAGGCTATGTTAACCAGTTTGATGGAAGTGTTTCGGATTGTTTGTGAAAACACCACACTG